GATCCGGTGGATTGTGCAAGCCGGTTGAGACAGAGGCTGTGGCGGTTACAGTCACGACTGGGTTGGAGCTCGGTGGAGCTTCAACTGTCCTTTCAGGTTATTAATGAAGGGGGTGGTTGCAACTAGGGGATATAACTGGAGTCTTAGCTTGTTCTTGGGAACTGAAGGCTTGGAGGAATTGACAGTGAAGATTACTGAGTTACTCATGATGGGTTTACTTGGATGGCATTTGTGTCTATGCGAAATCCTTCAAGTGGGAGATTGTTGGGTTATTCGGTGAAGGCTTTGGAGCTTTGGGCTTTAAGCCCGGTCGGTTAAAGGGAAGAAATATGGGGGCCCGGTTTTAGTTATTAATTAAAGGGCCCATTAGTTGTTTCTTGTTTAGCAAGTTGTTAACCCTAATTTATATCTTATAAATACCCAATCATGTAACTATAATCTGAGAGCACCTAATAAAAGATAAACCCTAGTTGCAACCCGTGGAGTAGGTTACTGACCGAACCACGTTAAATCTCGTGTTCTTATTTCTGCTATTTGTGTGTGTGTGTGTGTTTGTTCGCTTCCGCTTGACCGCCTCTGATCTCTGATTCCTAACATTAAACCCATCAGGGCATGGACTTTTGGAATTAGGAATGGAAAAATATAGCCTCCTTCACCTGTAAAGGGGTAAATTCCTTGATTAGTTCAATCTGGTGGTTGACAGCCAGCCTAGGGCCTTTTGTTAGGACTGCTTCATCCACTTCTTGACAGGGGTTATAGGAGCCCAGGATCTTTCTGTAATATGAGATAAAAATATCTGCAATTTGGTCTGTCCCTTCCACAACCTTATTATTCTCATCTTGGATACTGATAATGTAGTTCTGAATTTTCCTCTTTTTAACCCAAGCAAAGAATAATTTAGAGTTCCCATCTCCTTCAGTAATCCATCTCTCTTTAGCTTGCTGACTCTTTAAAGCTTGTGATGCTCTACTTTTCTTATAGAGCTCATCCTTGAGTTTTTGCTCTTCCTCCACAAGCGATTCACTCTGGTTAATCTTGAGCTCAGATTGGACCCTCAACAGTTCCTCCCTTATACCCTCCACCTGCTTGTGGATTTTATGATAATTGTTCTTGTGAAGGTCAGATAAAGGAGCTTTTAATCTTTTTAGGTTCTGCACTAGCTTGAACATACTCCTATCACCCCCTTCCTCCTTCCAGTTAGTGCTTAAGATGCTGGGGAACTTCTGATCTTGCATCCACATATCACAGAATTTAAAACTCTTGGTTCTAGGTTTCCAGTTAATATTCTTCAGTAATAGGGGAGAATGATCTGAAACTCCCTCCTCCATTATCACTGTCTTGGTATCAAAGTAATCCATCCTGTTCAAATTAGCCAAGTCTCTGTCCAATTTAGAACTGATTCTTCTGTCTCCTTTTTGCTTGTTAGACCATGTATTGTAATGACCATCTGATGGGATTTCATCCAAGCCACAATCCTCTATACATTCCTTAAAATCCTGGATTTCATCTGAAGTGATTGGGTTACCTCCCTTTCTATCTTCCACACTTAACACAGCACTGAAATCACCAAGGATGCACCATGGGCCATTAATAGTAGAAGAGTATTCTCTTATTTTGGTCCAAAGCTGCCTTCTGATGAATATCATTGGACCCATAGACAAAGGTAATGAAAGCATAATCTTGGGAGTCTAGATGCCTGAATTTGCAGTGGACAGCTTGATCAGTTGAATCAATCACCTGAGCAGTCACCTTATTCTTACTCCACACCACCCATATTCTTCCTAGAGGATGAAGATCACAGTTTGTGAAGGATCCCCAACCACCAAACATCTTATTTAGGATCTCTTCCTCTTTATTCTTCTCAATCTTAGTTTCTAAAATACCCATAAGACAGACTTTATATTTATTAATAATATTAATAACTTCCCACTGTTTAGTAGGATTATTTAACCCTCTTATGTTCCAGCTCAAGATCATGTAAAAAAATAGGGGTATTTTCTTTCACCCCTATATCCTCCAATATCACCTTCCTTGCTGCTTTCCTTCCACTTACAGTTTGAAAACCATCCCGATCCTTCTCATTGGATTGTTTGGGAATGAGGTTTTCTTCAATTGAGTCTTTCTGTTTTCCACTTTCAGCAACTTCTCCCTTTTCTTGCCTCTGTTTTGGGACCCAAATTTTCCTCTGACCCCCCTCTTTGTACCTTCTGATCCTTCTCTTTCCTTCTACATTGTTGTGATTCATGCCCCAATTTCTTACATTGCTCACACAAAGTAGGTTTCCACTCATATGTAACTTCTTGGGTAATCACCCTTTCATCCTCATCCACAAATTGTATTTTATCAGGGAATGATTGATGGACTTGAACTTCAACCTGGATTCTGGCAAAGTTCCACTTAGCTTTTGTTGCAGTAGCTTTGTCTCTTTTAATGGGTTTACCTATTAGACTGCCCAATTTGCTCAGCCCAGATAAGCTCCAGTACTTCATTTGGAGGATAGGGAATTGAATCCAGATAGGTATATCAATCAGTTTTGTAGTATCAATTGCCTTTCCAGAGACCCACTCCTCCTGAACCAGCATTGGTTTATTGACGAAGAAATAATACTTACGTTTACTGACCTCATTTCTCTCCTCCACAGTTAGCAAACACTTCTTTCACAAATGAGACATCATCAATATTATACTCCTTCCAAATCCGGTTAGCAAATCCTTTAAATACCTCCAGAGGGGGGATTAGTCCCTAGAACACAGCAGATTACAGCTCTATCCCAGATCCCATAGTCTTCTATTATGTCCTCCTTTGTGAATTTTGCTACCTTCTGTCCCCCTATCACATCTGGAGCAGCATCCTTCTTCTCGGATTGGAAATTCTCTTTCGTTATCGGTTCATAGATCTGTTCCATCCTTCCATCATCGCATCCAGAAGTTTTGTTTACTGGTGTATTGAAGGAGCTTCCGTTTCTAGATCCTTGTTTAGCCTGTGATTGATCGGCCGGCGAATCGTTCTTCCTAGGTCTTCCCTTCCTCCTCGCCATAGAGAGAGAAACAGGAAAGATGAAGCACTATGTTCTTATTCAATTGAGATTTTGAATCCTATAAAATTATCAATTTATACTCTTAAAAAGTAGTTACTCACCATTAAAATTGTATAAAATAGCAAACATGATTACATTGGTTCATAGCGAAGTAACAGATATTAAAAAAACAGATCAGATCCTAGGTGGCCTAGATGCCATGAAAAAAAAGTTGTATTCACTTCAGATGGTGCTATTCAACCTCTTCAATCTGCTGCACATCATCTTTAGTCTTCCGCGCTTCTTCAATAAGCACTCACACCCTCGGGATACCAAATTCTTTGAAATAATGAATTTGGTCTCCCCGTGCTGACTCTTCGTAGAACCCTCCCAAACCCTCTATCACACCATTTACCTCCATACGAATTACGGACATAGAAGAAATGGCTACCCGCCTTGCTTCCATAGCCAATAAGTATGACAGCATGTAGACCTGTTTCAACTCCTTCGTCTTCCCCTCGATACATTTCCTGTCAAATCTCAAAGTATTCAAAGGCAATTCAATTTGGAAATATAGAATACAAGTCACTTTTTTTTCCTTACATCTTCTTTCAAATGACTAAATTTTCCATCAACTTCAAGAACACCAGCTACAGGGCCACCTTCAAGAATAAGTCTAATTATTCGTCTTTCGTCAGGCTTTTCAACTGTCACCCCCTCTCTGATATTGATATGTATTCCTCCAATGACCTAACAAATGAAAAAAAGTTCAAGTCTAAACTTTAAAAATGAACACAAGAGGTGGCATGACTATACTGTCTTGCGTCCTTCCTTTTGCAGCAAGCAGGTTTTGGTTTTTCATTTGAAGTCTTCTTGTTTCTCTTTGTTAACTCTTTGGTTGGTTTGATTTGAATAAATGTAGTGCATGAAAAAAATACATACATACATACATATATATATATATATATGTATGTATATATATATATATATATATATATATATATATATATATCCGTGTGCATATACCTTCTTCCCAGGCCTATATCTTTCCTCAAGACACACACCACCTTTTTTTAAGAGCTTCTCAATCGGCTTGAAAGAGCCTATCCCATCTCTTTGTTGCTGGATCTCATAAATCTCCTCGATGGCATGTTGTGGTGAAAAGGCTCTTCTGTCCTTTTTTAATAGTGGCTTATTATACCTCCCTTCGCATGTGGCAATGGCCGCCCGTGCCATGCAGGTCACTGTGAAGTGCAAAATATCATTAAACAGATTTTTCATTTAATTCCGTTCTCTTTTTAATTTCATTTACTTAACTCCTTGAAAAATTTATAAAAAGGGTGCTTGTCTTCTTTTGTTGGCATCAACCTTTGATGTGGTGCTTTTCTACTTCAGATCATTTAACATTTTAAGTTGGCCAAAAATGGTAGATATGCACATGTTACTAATTGAGCCATGTTCAGACATTTGTTACTAATTGTTTGTGCCTTCAAACAATAAATACTTACATATATATATATATATATATATATATATATATATATATATATGAAATAATTATTGGTGCAATGCTTACTTGTGCCTCTCTGATCTTGCATCTCGTGCAGAATATATCGGTTACAACGATGGGCCAATGGCATCCCGTTCTCTAAGTCCTGCAATTAAATTGAAGAAATATTGGAAATTGACAATCTAAATATTTTTTTTCTACTATTTGTTTGAAAAGCCTTTCTTTCTTACCGGTGGTCGACGTTCTGTCATGCCTTATACTTGATAATGATATTTTGATGCAGATTAGTTCTACAATGATGTGGAAGAAGGAAATAATAATATTACAGTGCTGCAATGGCTAAGATTGTGGGGAAAAGGTAAACAAATATTCATTGAATAAATCACGGTGAGTGAAAAAAAGAAGCAGTTCAATACAACTCCTTTCATCCACCAAATTCAGCAAAATCAAACAACCAAGGAAAGAGATTCACTCTAAGTGTCCTTAGGATTCAAGTAGTCTTTAATCTCCTTAGTCTGCATTTCATCTCTAACTCTGCATGGTTTTTTTCTAATGCCAAGATTAAGAGTGACTTACTCTTGGTATGTTTAGAGATGTGTTTACCAACTCAATCCGCTATCTTTGAAACAGATTCTAGATATTTTCCTAGGATGTGTTCTATTTTTATAAAATATTATACACCTCAGATGTTTTATAATACTCCTTACATCAACAAATGCCTTATTCTTGGGCATGTTTAGAAATTCATCTTTATGCAAAAGTTTTCCGAAGAGTGCTCTCTGTTGATTTTTTTTGTTTGGACTAGTTTTTATAAATCCTTTCTATCGAGAGGAGCTGAGATTTAGTTACGAATAAACAAGTCATATTAGTTGGTTGTTCTAATATTGGGCAAGTGATTTTTTTCAATTGGTTGGTTATAGTTGAGAGAATGTTTTGTTAGTTTAATGTGTTTGATAAATTTATAGGTAAATGTAATAAAGTGTAGAGACCTTACCCCTAGACTGAAATAAGAGATCGCTGATTAGGAGCTTTTGTAACTCTTGTTATCATAGTTACATAAAAAAGTTCCTTTGTGGTAGCTACATGCTGATCTAATTATGAGTTATACACTGGCTGATGCGTGTTTGTGTTTATGTGGTGGGAACATGAAAATAATGGAGAAATGTGTTCATTTGATTATGGAAAAATGAAGAAAAAGCGAGGGGATATGTGAAACCAGACTTTTAGAATAACGGGAAAATATCCCCCAAGAGAATTGAAGGAGCACTTCAATTCAAGTAACAGCCGAGTAGGTGATTAGTGACGAATCTGACGATTCTTAACCCTAAGTGTGATTTTTGAATTTTAAATAAAAAATGTTTTATGGTTATTTGCAGAAACAAAGGGTCACAATAGTGAACCTGCTGTGTTGAAACTTGAAAGAGTGGGCAGAGAAAGCCGGATCAAAAGCAGAGACAGTGAAAAGCAACGCTGAAGTTTAAGTGGACTCTAACTCTCGGCTGCCTTGTGGAATCTCAATGCCATAGTTGTGAAAAGCGTGCCTGAGGCGCAAATACCTATGGAAATTCATTCGACTACCAAAGACCCCATTCTCAGTCTCAAAGCTATCTCAGGTTGGTATATTCTTTTTTTTAGTTGCTCTTTTTTTGGGTATTAGATAAACTTCCAGCTCGAAAAACTCTCTTCTACCTCTTTTTTTAGATACTCTCAGTCTCTACTGTGAAATAACCATAATCATTTTTTTGAATTCATTGATTAAACAGTTGTAACTTATCAATTTCATTAGTTAGTTAATTGCATTTTGTTCATCGTTTTTTGATTCGTTGATTAAATTGTTGTATTTTATCAATTTCATTTGTTAGTTTATTGCAATTTGTTTATTAAATCGTCGTATTTTATTCATTGGTGTTTGAATATGGTAATGTTTGAATTTGATTTTGATTCATGTGTTGCAATTCTGTTTTTAAATTTGCCTATGGCTCTGTTTGAATTTGATTCTTGTTTTAAATCTAAAATTTTCATATGCTTTTCAACATCTTACGCGTGTTATTACTAATTTAGAGATGCTATGCTACTTGTGTCTACATATGCGCATCGCGCACCGAGGCGCTAGAAGCCCTTTGCGCATTGGTGCGCATCGCGCCCTAAATAACTAGTCAATGCTCAATAGCATCACAAAGAGTTTTTTCTTTGACAGCATTACTCTCGAGGCCTCTTTGTGGCCCGTTCCATTTGCCTTGCAGCTCATGGATCCCGTTCAGGAAAGATCTTCCTAAGAGGAGTTTTTTCTTCTCTAATCAGGTAGAAAATTCTCGTTTCACATTCTATTTATTGTTGCATTGTGGAATATAATTGATGTATGCAAGCAGCAAGTAAGATAAGCCAGCTCCAGTACTTTTTAGGAATCATCCTGTTATAGAGGAAATTTTCAAGTTTTGGGGTTAGTTCGGTCTACGATAAATTATACAGAGCATGAGAAATTCTCCCAAGAAATTTTATTTATAAAGTGGTTTTCTTTTCACTCTTTAGGAATCTTACTTTGTGCTTCGATTCTACAAATTGGTCAGATTGCTTGAGTCAATTCAGCGTTCAATACATTGGTTTATTGTTTAAAAAAATACATTGGTTTATTAAATACCAGTTTCTTTTCCCTGATTTGTTCTAGCTTGTTCAGTACATGTTTCTTATTTTGATATTTCTACTTTATTAAAATTAGGATAATCATGTTTCAAAAAAAAATTAGGATATTCATATTTTTTAACTTGGTCACACATTGTTTCACTAATTTGATACTTTGGAGGCACATACCACTAGTCTTTGTTATGAGTTTTCCATAGTTATTAAGGTGTCGCCTAGTTGTCACCTAGGTGTATACACAAACACCCACCCACATACATACATACCTACATACATACATACATACATGCATACATACATGCATCCATGCATACATACATGCATCCATGCATGCATGCATGCATACATACATACATACATAACATTACATTACATTACATTACATTACATTACATACATACATACATACATACATATGTTATATATCACATATTTTTAATTTACTTCAACATTTCATGGTTCAATCTCGTCCTCTACTCCATTAATTCATCAATTTTGTTGAGTATATATAGGGCATATGTGAGAGACCATCGTGAAGCCAAACTTTTCTCAAATTTTAGTATATTTTTCTGCGTATCTTTGTTTCTATCCCCCAACTTTATGTTTTGACTTTAGAATATCAACTGGTTTTAAATTAAGGTTAAAATTTTGAGCCGGGTTTCTGCATATCCATGGTTATATCGCTCTGTTGTCTAAATTTTAAATAAATTCAAAGATTCGCTATATTTTGGCTTTGGGGTATGAAGGAATATAGCAAAATGGCTCTTTAAACTGTCTGCTCTTCTTTTAATAGTGAAGTAGCAGTCAATCAATGCAAGTTTCTACGCTCATCATGGGTCATTTGAAAACAGCAACTCTATGGTTTAAACACAGGGTCAAGCTGCATACATGATTACGTGTGGTGCTGGAGACGGGGGTTTCTTT